CATAGCCTATACTGACAAAGCCTAAAAGATCGCGACGAGAAGCTGCCGCCGAAAGGGAAAAGGTGGCCCCGCAGACAGCGGATGAGAAGAAAGCCACGTGACTGGCACCCCGCCGCGGCAAGACGCCGAAACACACTTCTCTCAAGCGAACAAGTGTGTTTCGGGTCCTCGACGCTGCAAAAACTGTGCGCTGACGTCCAGGTTCCCCGAGAAATGGCTCCTTGATGCTGCTACCAGATCTTCGCGCTCCAAATCTGTGACAGGGCACTCTATGGCTCCGTCGTCGAACTTCCAGGCTTATACAGGAAGCTATGCCACCACGAAACCCGATAGAGACTTCGTGGGGTCTATATTTTTCATACATTGGGCGAATTGCAACGGAAGAAGACGTGGTCACGGATGTCCCCTCAGTTTCTCGGCTATTAAGACGATCTATATTTCTTGCGTCTTTGTTTTTCTACAAAGTTCCCCATCTTTTACCACACTCTCGGAGAATTTTCATCATGATTAGGTAACTGAGTTAACGGACGCCGCCAGAAAAGTGTGGGGCGAAAAACCGCGTCGCCAAGGCATTGCCGTGACAACGCGGCTGTTTGCCCCATATTTACATGGCGGCTTTTAGTGAATCAGTGTCGAAGAGGTGCCATTTGGAGCCCAACACTTGCCTGTCCAGTTGAAAGTCGGTGTATAGCGGACGTCCGGACGTCCTCGACACCGCGTCGGGAACGTCGTCTATACTCCGTTCACCCTTTAAGGGCATCTGAAAAAAAAAAAAAAATCTAATTTTAAACAATTTGTATGGAACGCGCGTGTCAAAATATTAATTTTACGCGAAAAAAAGAAAAAAAAGGTTTTGGAGCAATATTGACGGCGCCCGAGTTATTTTAAATTCTGCGCTCAAAGTCCATGACGTAAATAATGGTCAAACACTTTTTCCACCTCAACGAGGTGGTCATACACTCTCACTACCTCAACGTGATGGCCAAGCTGATGCACCTCTCCTCCACGCGTCCGAAATGCCGAGAGAAAACCAGTGGAAGGGAGGTGACGACCGACTAAATCGCGTCTTGCGCAGTCAATAGTGCTCAATTTCTTTTTGGTTGCGTAAAATTCATTTTTTGATACGCGTGTTCCAACTAGAATGTTTAAAACAATTTTTACTCTCTTGTCAGGGGCCCTTGAAGCTGAGACTGCAGCCAAAGCTACAATCGCGAGCTATGCCCCGCCCATATTGTTAGGGCGCAGGTGATAGACCCCCTAGCAACGACACTGACGCCGGATTGGCCGGCTCGTGGAGATGGACGCTGCCGCTGTCAACATAGGCAACGGTTACAACGAGTTTCCAAATTGGTAGCGTAGCTTAGTGGTAAGGTGTCTCCCTCTTACGCAGCGGGACCCTAATTTGATCCACAGTGTTGTGCTACTTTTTTTTTCTCGAAAATTTTTTTTTGCGTCGAAGCATGTGGCGATATTTACGACATTTTTTTATTTTTTACGATTAACACTAACGAAAAAAAAAAAGAGTGTTGTCGAAGAAACTTTGCTGAACTAAATAGTATGAGGCTCCCTTTCCGGAGGTGCAATAAGGGACAGCGAGGCTGGGGTTGCCGGCTGGACGCCGCGAAGCGTCGTGTAGGGGGGGGGGGGGGGGGGGGGGTGGCAAGTGGGTTAATAGTTCTGGAATGAGCAGCCGCAGATTCTCGCCGCAAAGCGGCGTGAACTCAGGAGGGTGCTGGGTTAACGCGCGCATCAGTGATACACGCGCCGTCCGAATCCGAAATCGAAGTTCCCGCGCGTTGCTATACGTGACGGCGGCAGCGCTTATCTCCACGAGCAGTTAATGCTACGTGAGCGGCGCTGCTAGCGGGTCTATCGCCTGCGCCATAAGAATATGCAGCCCGCGCTCCTCGCTTTGAGAAAGGCATTTGTAGCGCGAGCGCTTGTTCCGCGGAAGAGGGACCTCGGGCTCTCGTGCTTGTGACATTGGCTGAAGTCTCAGTTTAAAGTGGTACGGAAACGAAATGACTTGGAGCGCGAGTTCTCTACCCCTCACTTCAAAGTCGGCCAGCGAGAAGCGTAGTGCTTATTGTTATGTACGCACGAATTGGTCGGAGCCAACGATGAACGTTTTACTGTTTATTTGTTAACATGACTTTTGGCTAGGCGGGAAACCCGGTGGTCCTCCGGGCAGCATAGACTTGTCGAACGCCCTCAAATTCCCGGCATACAGGCGGCGGCGCCACCAGTCAGTGGCGAGTACACAACATCTCCCCCTTTCAGTCATAGCCATAACGGCACGGTGGTCGCAAGGGCCTTCCAGATCGAGAGGTTGGTCCGGACCTTGACTGTTGGAGTGATGCTGGCTGGCTGGCTGGGCAGTCAGGGAGCTCGGGCGAACAGGGCAAGCTGCCGAGAGAGATGAGGTCCTCCTCAATGTTGCATCGTCGACGATCGATGACGAGGAACTTGGCATTGCGGCGAATTATGCCCTGGTCAGTGCCAATCCAGTAGGAACGAGGTGTTTCCGCTTTGTTGAGCACTGTCCCTGCACGCTTCAGATTGGTGATCCACACCCTCTGGGACGGCTGGAACTCTGGTCGATCCCTTACAGCATGTCGCCTGTCGTAGTTAATCGCTTGGCGTTTTCGAGCCTTGCGCTCAAAGTATTCGACTTGATGATGATCTGGAACAGAAGGCCTCAACAGCTCCGCTGATATTGGCACATGTGTCCGCAGTCTCCGGCCAAACAACAATTCGGCAGGGCTGAAGCCGTTCTCTAAAGGTGTTGCTCGGTACGCCAAGAGTGCTCTGTACGGATCAGATGACTTTGTCAGTTTAGTCTTCGCAATCTTGACTGCGGCCTCTGCACAGCCATTGCTCTGGGCATGTTTGGGACTTGAGGTGACATGCTTGAAACCCCATTTTCTTGCGAAGCACAGAAATTCAGAGCGAAACTGTGGTCCATTGTCCGTCACAACTGTCTCGGGGATCCCATGCCTTGCGAAGATTGACTTCGACTTGAAAATGACGGTCTCTGGTCTTTGATTTTCAAGCAATGCTATCTCGATGTAGCGGGAGTAGTAGTCTGTCACAACCAGGTAGCACTTCCCATTATAGCATAAAAAAGGTCCATGGCTACTCTTTGCCATGGTCGGTCAGGGAAGGGAGTTGGCATGAGTGACTGGTTCCGAGGTTGCCTCTGCCTCATGCAACTGACACATTTCTCCACAGTGTCAGCAATGTCTTTTGATAGACCAGGCCACCAACAGGATTGCTGGGCTCGTCTTGTGCACTTGATGATGCCTTCGTGACCATCATGGAGAGAACTTAGCACTGAGGATCTCAGTGGAACAGGTATCAGGTATCGTTGCCCTCTCATGAGGATTCCCTCATGCAACGTAAGTTCGTTCTTGAACTGCCAGTAAGGCAAGCACTCCTGGTGCACTTGTTTTTTCGTCTTCGGCCAAGTTGTTTGAACATAGTTCTTCAGAGCTCTGCAAACAGAGTCTTGGTCTTGTGCATCTGCAAGGCTCTGCAGACATACGTCTGGGACACTCACATGCCGAATGAGGGCTTGCTCAAAGTCGGCGACTTCCTCTGCGAGGCGCGAGCTGTCCTGTCCCTGCAGTGGTTGACGAGACAAGGCATCAGCAACAACCAAGTCCCTGCCGGGCACATGTTGCATGCTGTAGTCATAGCGCATCATCCTGAGACGCAGCCGTTGTAGCCTTGGCGTAAGATCATCCACTGGCTTCCGTGTGAAGAGGGGAATGAGTGGCTTATGGTCAGTTTCAATGTGGAACCTTAGACCGATGAGATAGTCCTTGAACTTCTCACATGCCCACGTAACGCCAAGGGCCTCTTTCTCTATCTAAGAGTATCCCCTCTCTGCCTCTGTCAGAGTTTTCGATGCATATGCGACGGCTCGCAGGCTTTTGTCCTCTTGGCGCTGCATCAGGACCGCTCCCAGGCCAAAACTTGAGGCATCAGCAGACACGATTGTCTCCTTTGTTGGACAGTAGAATGCGAGCACTGGTTGTGATGTAAGGCAATTCTTTACATCTTCAAAAGCATGTCGCTGCGTGCTGCCCCAGCTGAATGGAACATCATTGTGAAGCAGATCTCTCAGGGGTCCTGTCTTGACCGCCAGGTTCCGTATGAACCGCGCGATGAAATTCATCATTCCTAGGAACCTCTTGAGTTCTGTGAGGTTTGTTGGAGGTGGCATGTCTACGATGGTCGCTATCTTTTCCTTGTCTGGGGTGACACCGTCTTTGTTGATCACATGTCCCAGAAACTTGACTGTTTCCTGGGCGAACACGCACTTTTCACGGTTAAGCGTGATCCCTTTTTCCTTCAGTCTGCCTAAGACTTCACGCAGGCGACTGTCGTGCTCTTCCCTGGTCTTGGCCCACACCAGAATATCATCGATATGACACGCCACACCGTCAAGTCCTTCCAAGAGTTGATGAGTCATTCTTTGAAAATGCTCAGGAGCACAGGAGATGCCGAAAGGGAGGCGGTTAAACTTGAACCGACCAAATGGAGTGATGAAGGTGGTGAGCAGTGTTGACTCGGGGTGCAGTTTCACTTGATAAAAGCCAGAGTAAGCATCCAAACGGGAGAAGTACTTAGCTTGTCCCAAAGTAGCCAGAATTGGCTCCACACTTGGAATCGGATGGTACTCTCTCTGCACACTCTTGTTCAACATGGTGTAGTCCACACAGATGCGTATGTCACCATCCTTTTTCGGTACTACCACGATTGGCGAGCACCAATCTGTTGGCTCACTGACAGTGGTGATCACTCCTTCGTTTTCCATCTTTCGGAGTTGACGCTCCACAGCTTTCAAGAGTGGAACTGGGATGCGTCGCGGTGATGTGACTGCCACAGGCTCTACCGGCGACTTCAGCTTGATTTTGCAAGTGTCCCAAACCTTGGAACACCTCTGGGAACTCGTTGATTGGGTCGAGACATGGCTCTGCTCCGGCTCTACTCACTCGGCACAGGATACCGAAGCGTTCGATGAGGTCCAAGCCCAGAAGAGGCTCGTCCAGGTCCTTTGTGACGTAGAGGCTCGCCACGGTACTTTTCCCATTGTATACTACTGTTGCTTGCATCACCCCCACGATGTCCAGCCGTTGCTTCGCTGGCCCAAGAAGGAGCATGTCGGGTTTCTGGAGTGTTATCCCCTTGTCCAGCTTCGCCAGTAAACCTGTTGGAATCACGGTAACGTCCGCTCCTGTGTCTAGGCGGAACTCGACGTTGTGACCGCCTACGACGACATTGACTTTCCACGGCTTTTTCTTCTGCCCAGTGTTGACCGTTCCTGCGAAAAAGAAGTCTGCCTCCGTCGACGTGCTTTCATTCAGCTTGGCGACTTGCCGGAGTCGCTTGGCTTTACAGACTGATGCAAAATGGCCTTGCTTTCCGCACTTGTTGCATCGAGCTTTGGCTGCAGGACATTGCTGCCTCGGGTGCTTGACTGCATTCCCACACCAAAAACATGACTGGGTTGCGTGTGGCTGATCCAGCGAAGGCTTTTCTGGACATTTTGGGTGAAACTTCTTAGCCCTCTGTTGTGGTGCCTGCAGCCTGTCCACATGTGCTGTCTCAGCGGGCACTGTCTCGGTAGAATGCTTGAGGGTTTCTTGTTGCCGGCCAACAGTTTCCGTTTGCTTCGTTAGCAACACCGCTCGCTCAAAAGTGAGCTCGCTTTCCATCTGTAGCTTAGTGGACAGTCTTTTGTCTCTCACACCGACGACGATGCGATCCCTGAGAAGCTCATCCTTGAGGTTGCCGTAGTCGCACGTCTCCACCAGCGCGTACAGCGCCGTGATGAAATCCGCTACTGCTTCTCCCTCACGCTGTGAGCGGCTATTGAACATTGCGCGCTCGTACACGACGTTCTTTTTCACAATGAAAAAGTTCTCGAATGCCGCGACAACATCGGGATAGGATTCCGTCTTGTCCGCAGGGATGGGGAGGGAGGCGAAAATCTCCTCTGCCTTGGGTCCCATGAGGTAAACGAACGAGTTTACCTGCTCGGCTTGGGTCTTCCCTTGTAGGCCCGAGGCGGTGCGGAAACGCTCCCATCGTCTCTTCCAGGTCGTCCAGTGCTCAGGTACGAACGTGAACGGCTCCGGTGCTGAAAGGTGGTATGGCGGTGGTAATGCGGCGGCGGTTGAGAGGCTTGTGAAGACGCGTTCATTGTTCCGACCTGTAGGCCTAACGGTGATCCGTTGAGTTGACAGCGAGTGGCAACGCCGAACGTTCGATGCTCGTGTGCCTGCCGAGCGTTTTGCCTAGCGGCGCGTGAAGCTGAACTTAGCTTCTGACACCATGTTATGTACGCACGAATTGGTCGAAGCCAACGATGAACGTTTTACTGTTTATTTGTTAACATGAGTTTTGGCTTGGCGGGAAACCCGGTGGTCCTCCGGGCAGCACAGACTTGTCGAACGCCCTCAAATTCCCGGCATACAGGCGGCGGCGCCACCAGTCAGTGGCGAGTACACAACACTTATCGCGCTTGTGACGTCAATAGTTCATGCACGGTCAAGGGTACTGTAGTTGCGAGCCTTGCTGCTTGATGGCGTCAACGCGAAACAATCTCGCCTAATAGAAATATCCGAGCGCGAGAGCCAATAGCACCTAAAAGACAAGGCCTGTGCGTGACGTCATCATTACTAGGTCCCCGCCCTGCCCCAAGCGGCAAACAGGCTCATGCATGACGAGAGTGTGACTACGTGGCTACGTGACAAGCGCGTCGCATTCACTGGTGACCCCAGCTGTGTGCTCGACTGCTGAGCGTGAACTGATAGCCAGCGTCCACAGTTCCGATTTGCAACGTGCATGCGACACCATCAACATTGCCGGTCTTAGCAGCTTATTAATGTGAGCTCGTTCGGAGCATGACCACTGATAGAATTACTGTTCCAAACAATTTAGTGTCCATAATAAGTGGCGCAGGTTCTTTCCGCGCGCCAGCAGCCGCCGGTGTGCGCGAGCACACGCAGCAAAATTGACGTCGTAGTCCCCCATTCGCGCTTAAGATGGCAGTGAAATGTATGGGTTTCGGGCCAAAAGAGAATAAAGACAGGCTTTCCATCTCCACAAGTGAAATCTCCGGGCTTGTTAGACGAATTAATGATTTACCTTTTACACCAGACCCCACTAGAGCCACTGTATAGACCCCACTAAGGAGATAAAAGGGTTGTCTTTATTCTTCTTTTCCCTGTAGCCCAAACATTTCACTGCCATCTTAAGCGTGAAAGGGGACTATGGGGGGATTTCTGAGTGGGCTAGCGCACACCAGCTCGGAGCATGTGGAGCGAAAGCTCGCAATGCAGAACTCAGGGATCCTGGGCTCAATCCCACCCGGCCAGTTTCGATCTGGATGAGCATCGTACCGGCGTCCGGTCATGTACCACTATACTGCGTGATGCACGTTAAAGACCCCAGGCTAGCAGTCGCACAGCACTGCATGGCTAAATTGCTTATCTAGAGTGAGTAACAATGTCGCCATGCTTTGGCAGACTAATCTCCTGCTGAATGAACAACTAACGACTTGTTTGTCTTGGGGGGACTATGACGTCAATTTCGTCGCGTGTGCGCGCGCGCACCGGAGGCTGCTGGCTCGCGGAGAGACCGTGCGCCACTTATGGACGCTGAAATGTTTGGTTTAACATCCCCTGAAGCAGTTGATGGAACCGACGATGTCGCGGACGATGTAGCAGACGATGGTGCTCATCCGGGCTAGCTAGGGGGCGCTGAGGGCATCTACTAATGATGACGTTTAGGGGAGGAAACGCGTAGGCCTTGTCTTCCAGCTGGTATTGCGAGCCGTGCTTAAAGTCTCCCGTAAGTTGAGGGGGGTCCCTACAAAAAGGTGGGAGAGGGGGGGGGGGGGTGGGGGGCGGGGTTCTGACGAGATGTATTAGATGCACATAAAATAAACCCCACGGCTGACTCTGCCCACGCTGTACCAGCAACTCTCAAATTGCTAATCCCCAAATGCCACATCCCTGAAAACAAGCTGTTTTACTCCAAGATATGATTTTCATTTTACTAATGCTGGGGCTGTGGAGGAGGGTCTCAGACCATCCGTTAAAATCTGTGGGGGGTCCGAGACATGATTGCGAGAGCTCGAGGTCGCTGCTTTGAAGCGTTGTTCCGCAGAACGATCGAGCGGTCGCGCTAGAAATGCATGTCTCAAAGCCAGGAGTGCGCTCTAGCTCGCGCTTGTAGCTTTGGCTGCAGTTTCAGCTTATGAGCGTTCTCCGCCAAGTCACATTCAGGACTAATGGCGAATTCCATTGGGCGATCTGGAGCGCGCCGGGATCAGTTGACCAGATCCGGAATGGAGCACGCGATCCGAACGGGGTCCCGCCGCCTACGGATCCCCAGTGGAATATGACCACTGTTCCGGGATCGGCGGATGCCTTCCCGTCATTCGCCTGCCCGGGAGTCCCTTTTCTGCAGCTGCCGCGGTCGTTTCGAAGACGTTTTCGCAATCGCGGCGCTAACACGTGTTCCACGCACGAGCTGCAGGAATGGCTCAGGAGCTTCCAAGATTGTCGGAATGCCGGAAGTTAGGGTGCCTCAATGTCCTTCTGTTTAGGGTGATGCCATCGTTTGGTGTACTCAGTGCCGACAGCACACGCTCACAGGGAAAACAGAAAGAAATCGCAGGAAACAAAATGTCGCAATAGCATGGTTAGTGCCACGAGTGCGTGCAGGGCAGACATGTACAAATTACTCAAAAAAGGTAGTTAAGTTAAGTTACTGAGTATCGACGCCAAAAGTAATTGGAGTAAAGTAGAAATTACGCATTTGTAATAGTAATTGAGTAAACTACAAACTACTCTAAAAAGTAACGAGTTACTTTGAAGTTACTTTCGAAGTTACTTTTTTATATTTTTGTGGAAGCAAAATGAACAGCAGTTTTGATCAATGAAAAACCCTGCGAGCCTAAAATAAATGCAGTCTATTTATACCCTGCGTTTTCGCCAAAATAGTTTCTTCGCTCGCAGAAGCAATTGACTTTCAAAGTTCTTGATAGGAGAATTTTCCCCTTTTCCTTCAAAAGACGTCCTCAGCCAAGCTAAATAGACGTTCCACCGTTGCACTGAATGGAACGGCAGCGTTGAATTTGAGAAACAGGTTGTGCGGGGTCGGGTAAGCGAGTGTCGGTATCTTAGGTGTCCATGACGAAACATGTGAGGTTTGCCTCGGGTAGAGAGATTGTTATGACTGGCCCCTCTTTATTCCGGCGTCGTTCTGAGAGTACGCTGAGAGAGTGCACCAGACCTTCAAGGGTTCCAGTCTCGCGCCGCGACGATGAGATCATCCGGACGACTGCGCATTCCGTTGTAGTGCTAGTGTTACGCTACTGAAAAAAAAAAAAAAATGTTTTGGTTTAGCAGAAGATAAACCGAAGTATACTTCGCCGCTGACGCTGGGTCCAACAAAAGGATCTCCCAAGGGTAACTCGCAATCCTCGCCGGCGACTACAATATTCTGACGCACCTGACACGCCTGACAAGTAAATCGTTTTTAACGAAGAGCAGGTCTCCCTGGCATGGATGGTCGGAAGGACGCCAAGGATTACGTGAACAAGCATCGTCGCTCGTGCTCCCATGAACGGATTATCCATGCCAGGGTTTGTGCGCTGGGGAGTCCGGCTTTGCAAAGGCGTATGCGCTGACGACAAGGCGACCATGGGAACAGGCGCCAAGCTGCGAGGTCATTCCAGTGGCGCCTCCCGTGGAACCTACCACTTGAGTCAGAACTCACTAAAGACAGAAAACAACTCTCGGAGTGTCCCCGTCTTTCACGGTTGCAGCTGGAAACGCGGCGCCTGCGTGCATTACCGGATTAGGTCAATACCCGACCAAGGCTTGTTAAGCATCTCTTCCTGCGTTCGTGCGTGCCGGTGTTTTGGCTGCTCGTCGCCACCTTGACCCAAGGACGCCTTCCCGAACAAGGGGGCTCCTTTTTAGGGAATGACACTTTATCTGCCGGCGTCTTATTCATTTCTGCGGTGAAACTTTCGTGATGAGCAAAATTAGCACTATATAATTTCGAAAGTAGTTAGTAATTTGAGTAGAAGTTACCTGAAAAAGTAGTTAAATTAAACTACTAATTACCCAAATCAAGTTGTAATTGAAAGTTACCAAGTTACTCGAAAAAGTAGTTAAACTACAGTAGTTTGAGTAGAGTAGTTGAACTACGTCCAAGTCTGGTGCAGGGACACGCTCTTTCACGCGCTTCAGAACAAAAAATAAAAATAAGCGTTCGAAACAAAATGGCCAGATGTCATCACCCCAAGCAAAGTGCACATGAAGGCACCCTACCGGAAGCTGCTCGAGCAACTTGACGAGGAAATGTCGTCAAGCAGCAGCAGCAGTAAGGCGGGCGGTACAGGCGGCACCTCCCGAGTGGCCATTACGATTTTTTCTGAGTCGAGATGGGCGAGATCAGGCGAGG